TGCACAGCCCTGGCTCACAACACGGGGACAAAAGGAGCCCGTGCACAGCCACACGTACCAATGTTGCCCTTGTCATCCTCCCGGATCTGGATGTCTTTGCTGGCTGTGTCCACCTGCAGCAAGTCCCGAAACTCCTCCTTGTACACTTCCAGGTAGGACACTCGGACCGTGTAGTCGATCAGGTCGTTCTCGTCGATGAGCCTGAAGGTCTCGGCCATGGCTCGTGGGATGATGCCCTGCTCATCTTCGTTGATGGAAGCTGGCAAAGAGAGGCAGGACAGGGTCACGGAGAGCAGGGAATGTCCAGGCTGGCTGGGGACAGAGCTGTGGTCAGAAACCTGCCTGCAGCACACGTCAGCTGGAAAGGAGCAGCCTCACAACTCTCCCACAGCTCAGCCCTCACAGCCTGGGTTAAACACCCCACAAGACTTTTGGGCAAATCCTACCCCACTGTTGTGGATTCCAGCAAAGCTGCTTGTTTCCAGTCCTAACTCAAGCAGGAGAAAGCACTTTAGCATTTTAGTAAGAATCAAACACCATGCCTGCAGCTACACTGTGCTGTCCTTTGAAGCCAGCATGACTCCACAACTTTTCTCAGCTCTGAAGTTTTTTTTTTTAGTGCTTGCAGCTTGCTTGTTTCTGGCCACAGCACTCTGCTGTCTGAATTTTAAATGTTTTTCATCTTCAACAGCCATACAAAATGGGATACTGAAAACAAAGGTAGGGAAACAATTTAGTGTTTCCAAATTATGCAATTAACTAAAGACGATGGCAACATTTACAGTACAACCTCTGTAAGAAATCACAATGCCATTAAACCAGCATGAAAAGTTTTTCTCTTTCCCAATTTCCTTCATATAAAGAAATTAACACGATTAACTCTTGCAAACCTCCCTCTACTTCAGGTTTATTTCAGGACCTAGGACTATCCCCACCACCCCCAGAGCTGGTGGAAGACCAGGTCCTGTCACTTATCCTGCAGTGAGAGAGGAGAAACCTACACAGTGTGAT